AAAAACACTATGAAGCGGTATATAAGTCTAAGTGTTATTGCTATTGCCCTGCCCTTCCTTTCCCTGTGGTTAGAATGCAAGATTGCAAGATTGCAAGCAAACTCTGCCTGCAGCCTGGAGTTTGATCCTGGTGGGGCTCAAGTTTGATTCAGCCATCCATCCTTCCAAGGTGGGTAAAATGAGGACCCAAATTGTTGGGGGCAAGAGGGTGACTCTGTAAACTGCTTAGAGAGGGCTGTAAAAACACTATGAAGCGGTATATAAGTCTAAGTGTTATTGCTATTGCCCTGCCCTTCCTTTCCCTGTGGTTAGAATGCAGCATTGCAGGCTAATTCACTGCTCACTGCCAGCAGTTCGATCCTGATGGGCTCAGCCATCCATCCTTCCGAGGTCGGTAAAATGAGGACCCAGATGGTTGGGGGCAAAATGCTGACAGAGAGTGTTGTAAAGCACTGTGAGGCAGTATATAAGTCTAAGAGCTATTGCTATTCACAGCCATGGCAATTTTAAGGTCAGTGGATTTCAACTTCCAGAAATCCCTAACCAGGCCCAACCCGTGAAGAATTCTGGGAATTGAAATAAACAATTGCACGTTACGCATTAAATCACTGCTAAATAAAGCATGGTTCTTCACAGTATCTGAATTGAACTGCTACTGTGCCACATTCCTAAAAGTTGATGAAATCTGACATCAAAATAAATGCTATTATGGGTTACCTATAAGCGGATCCTTGTGCTCTCTTAAGCCCTTCAATAGAAAACAGGCACATGGAGAATCTTTGGGGCGATGTGATTGAGCATCACACTCGTGACTTAGGCTCACCACATCATTATGTCTTTTAATATTTTGAAACTCCACCAACTCCTGATTATCTTGCAAAGACACATGTGAGGTCTGTGTGGAATTTTCATTACTTGGATCCAATAAGAGATTATGATTCTTCAGCCAGATGGGATATTTGCATTCAGGAATACTGCTTAGATCTGAAATGCTCAACTCAGTTTTATGGTTTGTCAGCCATCTTGGATAATTCTTATGAAGCACTGTCTCTCGGCTCGCAAGCTGGTCATTTCCAGGCAGCAGAGAATGATGTTTTTGAAATTTATATCGTGTACCCTTTTTTCTGCTACCTTCATGGTACGAGGAAGGAAGCAAGGAATTTTTCAAAGAATCTTCTTTTTTTTTATCGTGGACGGATGAAGTCCAGTGATGAGAACAAGAAGCAGATGTCGTCCAGGACCTCCTGTTCACATTGCTTCTCTGAGCTAATGACCTAGAAATCCTGAAAGAGGGGGAACCATCTTCAGGAAATGCTAAAAGATTATCTGTAGTCAGACTAACTATATCTGGCTCACAAACAATTCTTCTTCCCAGAAGTGTACGGTGCTTGACATTTTCTAAAACAAGAAGAGACATAATTTGACTTAATCTACAGGTTCCAAGAAAGGAAATATTTCAAAAGTTACTTGTAATAATTCTTGTCAGCCAAGCCAACAGAACATTCTATACCCGGGATGGCAAACCTATGGCACGCGTGCCACAGGTAGCACGCAGTGCCATTTGTCAGGGCACGCAGGGCGTTGCCCTGTCAGCTGACCAGCGCGCATGCGCACACTGGGTGTGGCATGCCCTTGCACGACACCCCTGCGCTCCCCCTGCTTTTGTGAATTAATTATAGAGAAATGGGTACCATAAAAAGTTAAGAAATAAATACATTTAATAAATACATGAATGAATAAGAAATACATATTAGCTTGACATTGGAGGTTATTTTCTGAGTGACCTCCAATACAGGTAGCTTCCTACCCACATACATTACTGAAAAGGAAACATACACACATACCACTCTTGGCCTTGAAATTGTCCTTTGAGGATGTGAAGTTTTCAGGAGCCCTCGGAAGAATTTCAATTTTTCCAGTTCTGACGTCCGACGATGAAAGACTGAGATCGAAATCTTTAATATAGGCCTCTAAAGCTTGAGAGGCAGAACTATACCATTTGTCCTTGTATTGGATTGAACTGTGACTCAAGGAATCATGGCCACTCTTAAAGTTACCACTCGCTAGGAGAGATGACACAGTTGTTTCTGGAGAACAGATGTTACTTTTTTTGACCAAGTAGGACATTACTTTTCATTCAGGGCCCTTCTGTAACTTCTCCTGAAGCTTTCAAGAACTGTCAATAAGCAAAAAAAAAAAAAAAAAAAATGCAGATTTTGAGAGTCACCCTGAGGCACAGTAATATTTTCAAATATGCCTTGATTTTCACATTAAACATCCTCCCTAAAGGGGATGTATATTGTTTAAATTATTTCATTTACAATTGATACTGACTGTAGTAGTTTCACAGGGCTGTAGGAATACTCTACAGTTAATGACAGAAAACCAAAATAATATTTTTGCTAAATTGGCCTGCAAAAAGTGTTTTCTTGTCAAATTCAATCACAATCCTGAAAGAGAAACTACACTGTATAGTTTGATAAACCTATTTTGTCCAAGGGTGCTCACTAGCTTGTGAAAACTATGGTAAATATTACAGATTTTTTTTAAAAACAGGAAAGGTTTTATATTCAACATTTCACAGGAAGATGAATATATAGTGAATGAAGCTAAGGAAGAACAATTTGGAGCAACTCATTGCTGGATGTTCTAAGTAGAGAAACTTTGCCAGTTTAGCATTTTGTGTTTATCCAGGCTTGAATTCAACTAGGGTTTGAAAAATGTAATATATGGCTTACTGTATTGTGGGAACCAGGCAATTGTGATTTACTTCATAAAAGAGCTATAATTAGCACCTCAACCCAGTAATCTCTTATTATTATAGTTCATTTCACAGTCAGCCAGATATTTAAACTAGCTTTGACATTTTTATCCACCTGAGTCCGGGAAGGACTTGAGAGAGGCAGATATTGTTGTTTGATGGTGTTAAAGGCATTATTGCAGGATGTACGGTAAGTTGTTCCAAATAAAGCTGCCTTTTGCAATCCCAAAATATTTGTGGCACCACTTGAACATCATCTGCATTCACAAAATCCCCATCCCTCATATGCAAAAGGAAGTTTTACTTGGAAAAACTTAACATCTTTTTCTTGCTTTTTCTTTTTTGGCCATAAATTATTCAATAACTTAAATTGTTATTTCAATGAACTGCATTAATAATAATCTAAATTCTTTTCTTATTTAAAATAATTTCAATCAATAATTATGAAGATTATAGTTGGTTTCATAGTCAGACAAATGTTTAGACTGGATTTAGTATTTTTATTTACCATAAGGAAGGCTGAGTGCCAAAGAATTGAGGCCTTTGAACTATGGTGCTAGAGAAGACTCCTGCGAGTTCCTTGGACTGCAAGGTGATCAAACCGATCAGTCCTAGAGGAGATCAATCCTGTCTGCTATTTAGAAAGCCAGATCCTGAAGAGGAAGTTCAAATACTTTGGCAACCTAATGAGAAGGAAGGAATCACTGGAGAAGAGCCTAATGCAGGTAAAGATTGAGGGCAAAAGAAGGGGACAGAGAATTAAGTGGCTGGATGGAATCACTGAAGCAGTAGGCATGAGCTTAAATGGAGTCCAGAGCATAGTAGAGGACAGAAAGGCCTGGAGGAGCATTGTCCATGGGGTCGCGATGGGTTGGACATGACTTCGCAACTAACAACAAAAGTATTTTTACCCATTGATTTAACTCTTTCCCAGGGACCTTGGATAGGCAGATGCTGTTCTCTGATGGTGTTAAAGGTACCGTTTTTAATGCCAATGATATTCGAGAAGTGTGCCAGTTGTTTTGGGATTGCACCCAATGGCACTTATTAAAATAAAAATATTACGGTCCTTCGTACAGCCAGTCAGATGTTCAGACTGAAGTTGGCATTTTTGTCCACCTATCAAGTCCTTCCTAGATGTTGATGTTTGCTGGTGTTAGGAGGTATAGTTGCAGGCTGTAAGCTGTTGCAACCAAACCTGCTTTTTGCCATTGTAAATGAATCTCACAATGGTCTCACATTATGCATGTCTGTACAGCCATCCAATTCAACGGCTGGATCAAATCCTGAATAAGGACCCTTGAGATAATAGACTTACCAACCAATCATAGTTAATTACATGTTTCTGCCATGTACCTAAGATTAACCTCATGCCTAAACCCTCAATTTACCACCATTTACCACAAAATAACCTAAAACCCGTAACCCCTATGCGGAATTGCCTGGGCTTCTAGATCCAGAAGCCACACGAAGATACATCTCAGAACATTTACAGGCAGTCCTCAACTTATGACCACAATTGAGCCCCAAATTGTAAGTGAGTTTAAGCAAGTGTTGCAAAGTGAGAAATTTGTCAAACGAGTTTTGGCCCGTTTTACGATTTTTCTTGCCACCTTTGTTAAGCGAATCACCGAGGTTGTTAAATTAGTAACCTGGTTGTTAAGTGAATCTGGTTTTCCCCCTTTGACTTTGTCAGAAGTTTGCAAAAAAAAAAAAAAAAAAAAGGAAGGGAGAGGTTTCATTTGACCCTGGGACACTGCGACCGTTGTAAATAAGAGTCAGTTGCCAAGCATCCGAATGTAAATCGCATGACCCTGGGGATGCTGCCACAGTCATAAGTATGAAAAATGGTCATAAGTATGAAAAATGGTCAT